AGCTCTCTTCACAGTGAGCATCTGACCCATTTCGGAGCTGTCGATACTGAAATCCAGCTTTGCCAATTCACAGGGCTCAGGTAGAACACCTATAATTTTAGACATTTATCTCAATCAAAGGTTGCGTTAACCTTGGACTTGGGATGAAAGTCAACCTATGAGCTGAACACTGATTATTTTGTTAACTCATTTTGCTGCTCCCCTGGTGGGCTATGAGAATAAGATTGTATATCTAGATGGATGGTTGAATGGATGGGTAGTAGTAATTTTAAAGCTCGGTACTGAACTTGCTGAGTAACGTTAAGGCACACAGCAGGTATAGTTTAAAAACATGTCCCTGGTTGTGGATTGCACTCCTGGCTGGTAAGCACCATGTGGGTATGATCAACTAATCTTTTTCAATTTACTTCTGACAGCTTTCTTTGTGGCCTTGTGGAAGAAATACAAGGACAAAGTCATTTGTTCCTGTTCTGTCTCAACACTTCACACTTGTTTGAAGTGCTGGGTGTACTGGCATTCAGCATGCACAATGCTTATTGTTTCTCTTAGGTTTTATTTTGTCTAGGGTTTTCTTTGATACAGCAAATCATCTACTTTTTTTGGCAGGTCATGTCCCTCAGGACACAAAGTATATTTTCCAAAGGGCTTAAATGATTTAAGAAGATAAATCCCTCAGACCTCCAAAGAGATTCATATCATGATTGTGGTATTTTTTGAAAACCCCATTCAAAAGCTGCTGAGTGCAAGCAATTGTGCTATGAAGAGGAAGGGTCATCTCACTACCAAACGCCAATATTTAAGTGGAATAACAGGTTTTATGGCGAGTCCTTACCTCTTTCTCTTCCTAACTTCCAAATGGCTGAAGTGAGTGTGAGTGACACGTCTCTTGTATGCCAGCTGAGAAGTTATTGTTTTCTGACCCCTTTTTTTCTGAATTTTCCTGACTTGGATCCATATTGGTCATTTGGCAATATGTTATTGAGAGTGGAGGACCATGGTAGGGCAAGCTAGCCAGTCTGCACATGGCCCTCCCATTAGGCTGAAAGCCAGCTAGACCAGCAGAAATTTGTGGGAGAACTTGCCAAAGACTGCCCTTATTTTTTAACATTGGTTGTCAGTTTATTTCAATAAAATCAGTGAAACCCAAAATAAAAAGTCAGGTATTTGAGGGCATGCTGTGGGGCTGGTGACTTGGAGTTACATATAAGTGTCCAGCACGGGTGGTGCACAGTTAAAAACATCAAAGGCAGTGGACAAGAGAAAGAAACAAGTTTGGGGGGATTCCGTATTTGCAGTGGGGCAACTGGCAGATGTTTCTCGTTTCTCAGTGCAATGACATTTGTTTTTAGTCTTAAAAGACGTATCATAACTTGATCCTAAACTGCTGTGATCAAGCGCAAGGGTTGTTCTGCAGAAGAGAAGATGAATCATGAAGCATTTGAAAAGTTTATTCTTTAGCAGGATCTAAACCCTCAACAAAGGGGGAGCTTCTGTGTGTGCAGACCCTTGCCATCTTAATTTGACAGAAATTCCTTCCACCTCCATCACTATTGTCTTTTGCTGTTGATAGTTTCGGTAACATGCCAGCTTCTACTAGAGATGATCACGTTTTAACTTCTCCTAGGACAAACATCAATCTAGCTGCTGGGCTTCACATCACATTTATAAGAGCTGGAGCTGCACTGCTGCCAGACCAGCCAAGTGGGAAAGTTGGCTTTGCTCCATATAAACAGCTCTGACTAAGCAAGCCACACTAAATTTGGAAAAGAATTAGGGGAACTCATTTTTCAATTGCCCTGGAGTATTTTATCTCCAGTCGCCCCATGTTATCATTTCGTGGGAAGAGTTTCTATTACTCATGACTGTTTCCATCATGTTTGTTTTCAGATAGCATATTTTTATCTTCTGTAAACCAAAGGAGTTTAAAGATCCATTGGCAAACAATGGATCAAGGGTCTGTCTGCTTCTCTTTCCACCCACAGGTAGCATTGCAATTCTTGTTGAGCCGAGCAGGGCAAGGCCAGGTCCTCATGTAGTGCCACTCACATCTCTTCAAAAAGCCTTTTATTTCTAATTTTAAGAGGGGGTAGTATTTTTAATATCAAGATCCGACTGGAATAAACAGCCTGAAACATTTGCCCCTCGATTCGTGTTTTGGTTGATTGTAAATATATTCTGCACATAGAAATCACATTGATGTCATTTTTCTCACTTATATATTATGAATTGCATAGTTCCTTTCTTTTTGGTCACCATACTTTAAGCTGATCTTAGAAATGTTGACACTTCTGAGACGGTTTAGCCATAACTGAAAGACTTTGCCAAAATTACAGGTATTTCCTGCGATTGTTGGGGCTTTTTTCACAACACCAGGATTTTGTTCTTTGTCCCACTTCCTCTACAAACTTTTACTGCAGGATGCAGGCAGTAGTCAAGTGAGGTCCAGTGTCCCGGAGCCCTCTGTAACAGATTAAGAGGCTACTGCAAGCTGGAAAAGAAAAAGCCACGGTGGAAAATAGGGGCAAACCCTGAGCAGGAAACTCCACCGGGGCTGGGGCCAGCAACATCCTACTGCTGACTGGGACCAGAAGAAAAAAAAAGTGCGATGAAGAAGGTTTTGGGAAGCTTTGTCCTTATTTGGAGAATAAGTTTATGCCTCTGCCCAAAGCAAGCTAGTTTTTAAAAGGCTGTCAGGTGGGCAGGGGTTTTCTGCTTCAGCAGCACCAGCATCCTGCTGTTACATGCAAGCACATCCTATCATCACAAGGTCTCAAAAAATCTGGTCTCTTAAAACTGGAGGGTTGGAGTCCGGATTGTCACCTGGTGCCATCCCACAAGTAAATCTGTGAAAAACTTACAGACCTGAAAGCTCAGCCTGGCCTCCTGACATCCCTCCGGCTTTGTGTAGCTCTGCAAACGCAGTTGGCCGAGCCGTCCTCGGGCACCTGGGCAGGGCTCGAAGGGGTGGCAGGTTTGTAACCCGGCGCTGAGTGGAGTGGGGCAAAAGGGCTTTCAGGTTAATTGAAGGCAGCGATCCCACTGAGGCTCAAGAAGGAGAAGGCTCCAGCTCACCTCTCTGAGCTGGTCACACGGGAGTCCCTGGCGTTAGAGGTTGTGTCAGTACTGTCCCTAAACTTGGGAGATGCGTCAAATTCTGTGCATCAAACTGAAAATAAAATTACAGAAGCAGAGGAGCTGATGCCTAGCTTTTTTTGCATGCATGTCCAGGTAACTACAGTGATGTAAATGTAATTATCAGGAAGTTATGGAGTAATCAAATACTGCAGCTATCTGAATTGATTAAATTACCCCTAGCAGCCTGGTAATGTCCCACATTCGGAGCAAATTAGAGCTGAACCTGAAAGAAGCACTTTCCAAAATTTTTTGCCATTGCCCATCTCGGTGAGAGAGAGCCAAACTAGCTATTTTTCGGTGGCAGTCTCAGCCACACAGATTTGGGGTTTTCAAAGGGACATAAGGTAGCCAGAAGCGGGACATCTTGGGCCATAGCATCTTCTACACCAGAGCATCCCATGCACTTACTCTCATAATGATCCATGGCTTTTATCTTTCTTTAATCATATTTAAAATTATTTAAGATGAAAAAAAACATGAACACCCTGGGAACTGTGCTGACATTTAAACCCCAATTTTTTGTGAGAAATGGCAATAAAATCAGTAGCAATCCAGAAAGTTTTGCATGGTTTCTTTAGAAGGACTATGCTTATATGCTTGAAACGGCAAATATGTTGAGACCTCTCTCTGACTTCATCATAGGTGCTGCAGACTCACCACCCATTGTATAAAATACAGAAACATCATGAAAACACCCTTTTTGATGCTAGTGCTGGTGGGTGGCTGGGAGGAGTTTGTCAATCCGGCAACGTCATCATAGGATGTGGGTGGTTCAGCTTTTCCGCGGTGCTTCTTGCTGGTTCCCCTGTCTGGCCCTTCAGGAGTGCTGAATGGCAGTCCTGGTTTAGGAGCCCATGTGAGTGAAAGGCTTCAAGAAATCACAGTTTGGGAACTATCATTTCTTTTGTCTCATACAGAACATTAGATATTTTTTTTTCACCCCAAGCAGAACAAAATAAAGCTTTGAAAGCATCAAAATTGCTTGAGGTGTGAAATTACATTTCTCTGTTGTATGCTCAGGAGAAAACCCTTTGTCATGGGGCTCCTTAATACAAGGGAGAAAGGGATCTCTCCAGTATCCAGGATGGTCGGGATGCTATCTAGATCATAGTCCAAGTTTTGGTTTTCGCATTGCCGTAGCCTCTTTGAGTCACATGTGTGCACATGGCTTTAACTTTTGGCTTCACTTCCCTGTCTGTAAAGCATTACTATTTCTTTGATAGGGTCAATGAGTTAATTACTTGTAAATTGCTTTAAGATTCCCAGAAATGAGACATTCAGTGTGTTTATTGCTGTTATTGCTACTGATCAGATCTTGAGCATAACAAGACAATACTACATTAATGTTTATTGCAGCATGACTGAGTATCTGTTTACATTAAAACAAAGAAGAGACTGCAGTGCCCAAGCCTAGAAAACATCCTTTGTAGGAGCTTTGAGTCAGCTTTAAAATCTGATTATGTGATAAAATTGGCCAATATGCCTAAACACTAGCCAGTATCACTTGTGTATATGTTTCTTTGAAAAACTTACCAGCTCTCGAATGCCCACGGTTCTGTGGCTCTATGTCCTAGGGAGAGGCAGTAGCATCTTTTCTTAGAGAAATGGATTTGGGGTATGTTTTCCCCACTCTTAGAGGAAAGACGGTGTCCAAAAACCAGTGTTTTTTCTATATTGGTTAAACACAGACAAATTCCCTCTGTGCTTGGTTTTCACAACAGCTGAATGCATCTCTGAGGGTTTCTTGATCTGCTGTGCAGCAAGTGACTGTTGGTATGCTTGCTCAGTATTTTGGGTCACTGGTGATAACTGCTTTGGTTCTGCATTACACATTAAATAGGATTAAATCTCTATTTCTGCTTCAGGAAAAACAGAGGCTGTCATCAAAAACTTCAGCCCGCACTACAGACGCCAGTACGCGGTGGCTTTCTGCAAGCACGTGCAAGATGAGCTGGAGCAGCACCGGGATTCCCAGTCCCAGTTCCTGAAAACCAAGGTAGGAGGGCACGTAAGCCCTTCCCCATCCTCAAACTGCCGTAGAGCTCTGCTCTCCTGCATGAAATCATCAACATATTAACTATTTAAATCACATATTTAGTAGTCCTAATGTATGAAGAACATGAGCTGGAAGTGTATCAGCCACTGACTGGGCTCGGTTTTCTTGTTTTTCCCAGTGTTGAATGCCCTCAAGTAAAGTTAATAGGTGGTACAGATTCTCAAAGCTTCTAAAACTCAAACCCAAAGAATTTTTAAAGTTATTTAAATGTGTCTATGTATACAAGCACAGTACAGAAGTGTTCTTTCAGCTTCTTATGTTGCATAGTTGAATACAAAATAAATGTGTATCTAGGATATTTTACGTGTGTTCTTTCTTATATGTAACCCAAGTGCAGACAATAGATTTGCAAGTGCAGATGTTGAATTTGGTTCCGTTAGGTTTTAGGTGAAAAAGTTTCATTTGGGTGCAGATTTAAAGTTTACTTTTGAAAATTCGTATTTGTTTTGGTGGTGTTTGGTTGTCTTACCACAGCATGAGAAGAACCACGACAAGTTTCTGGTACAAAGCATGCATTTCATCAAGGTAGAGTTGGACACTTGGACAAAACTAGCTGCTTC